GTTATTTCGCAGGTGATCTCGTTCGACCCTGGCTGGCTGGACAGGTACGAAGCCGAAATACTGCCTGACATGTTTCAACACCAACTCCTTCGTCTGCTGCAACGTGGTTGGTGGAATCGTGCAGAACTTCGAAAGCTTAAGGCGAGTTCGTCTGCTCAACGGCCGTTCAGAAAGAGACTTCCACTGGCGGGCGAAGCTGTACACTTCGGCCAAAATTTCGGCGCATAGGTTGAAAATGAAGTTTTCGAAGTTACTCTCTCGGTGGTCCTCAGAGTCGAACACAACCGACCTGTCAGCGGTCATTCGCAAGTTCCGAGTCGCCAACGCGCCGTTAATTTTGCTGACGTCATAGTGTTCGTCGAACAGTGCCTCGACCGCTGAAGAGACGGCGTTTTCTACCATCTCCTGTTCATAAACCGGGAAAGCCGGGTATGCCTTGTCCAACAACCTGTCCATCCCGAGCGTTTCTGACGTAACATCACCACCATCTGGCAAATTCGCTTCATAATCCTTCTCTGTCGTCAGTTCGCCGCCCTCAAAAAACTTTGAAGCGTCATCAACAGCCCGCTGCTGTAAAATAAACAACACGTCATACTTAGCGTAACAAAACACGCATACAAGGTTAAAAAGAATCATCGCACAATTATAACAGTTCACAGCATTACATACTTGTGAACATAAGACGACATCATGCCCCCAAACAAATGTATCCGGCTTTATGACGATAATCGCTGAATGTCATCCGTCATTCGTCAAGTGAAGCAATAAACTTTAACTTGCGGGGTACATTAAAAGCATGAAAAATTTTAGCGCCTGGTTTGGTAAGACTGCAAAAGCCGTAGTACACTGATCTTTATAAAACAAAAGATGAACAGTACAATAACAAAAAGCAATTAGCATTGCATACCCGCAAAGTCATATGTTGTAGTGAACAATGTCTGTGAACAGAACTACACCAGGGGTTTGTCAATCCCGGTATTTATTGCCTTGCTAGGTGACCACTGCGACGGAGTTGCAGAGAGCGGATTCTGTGGATGCCTTGCGGATTTGTACTTTACCACGGATATCGATGTAACCGCAATGACTGAATTTTTTAAAATATAGTACATCACCAGCTGTGACTGTTGCTGACATACACTAGAATCCTCATTTAAATGACTAATTTTAATAAATGTCATTAACACTGTCTGTTAATTACGGATTTACCAGACGTAGGAGCGGGGCGGTCTCCCTTCCAGTAGCCTACGGGTCAGTTTAAGCACGACACGACTCAATGGCGTTGTAGCACCTGCAGTGCATGGACGCAAGACTGCATCACTGAGCAGCGCTGAACAAAAACCTGTTTGGACACCCCTCGAAATGTCTCTATTCGTAAACTTGTTGATACATAAAAATTAACACCGAAGCACTAGAGGCAAAGGTACGGTGCGCCTACGTCTGGAATCTCCAGAATTAAAAGAGCAAATCATTTTCCTACCGGCGGTATCGAAAAGTAGCAGTATGCTTGTTAAGACGCAGTACGGCGTTAATTTTTATTTATACATATTATAATCTTTACACTTTTCTTAATGTAGATGGTTTTGGACGTGACATAAGATATTCATAAGATATTTGTCACACCGAAAGCCATTTACTTCTAGAAAATGAGTAGATTTACAAACTGAACTAAAAAATGACATTCTGAACAGGTCATAATTATGTAATTAAACAATATAAGTAGTTCGTACACACGAGTAGGTGAAATAACGACTGAGTGCTTAAAGACCAGATTTCAGGGCACATTGCACTACACTATGTTCCTAGTTGCCTAGAGGGCCATTCGCGAACGTCGCAGCTCAATGGTATTTGAGCACATGCAGTGCCAATGGTCTGGGAGGATTCATTCGTTATTTGACATGAACGGGCGCACGAACAGCTAAGATGCATGCGGTAGGACATTAAGGTGTACCAGCCCGTGAATCTTTGTTCATGATGGGCACGAGGTGGTTCTAACGGAAAAAATAAATTATGCGATACGCATGTGGCACTCGAATAACATGGAGCCGTGGTTTGGTAAAATGGCCAGCATGCAACACAGAGGAGTATGCTAGAGATATATCTGCTTACGGAAACGAACACCCGTTTCCATTACTCAGTAGCCGATGCATTCTAACAGTAGTACTAAACGGTTTCGAATATAGCGAACATAGTTCAGAGATATTCTGCTTATACAAATGGCCCTAGGTGATGATCACAACAACAAACAACAACAATTACTCAATATTCTACATCCTGTGATATAAGTCAAACACGGGGCGCAATTGCAACATCATCCGAGAGATGAATGAATATTGAAGACAACTAAGATGTTGGTCCACTGGTAAGCGGGGTCAAGCGACTGATACCATCTAGAATATCAGTTAAATTAGCCCCCACTCTCTATTTGAAAAAAAATCTAATGAAATCACATTATTTATTTTTGCATGAACATGTCTTAAATATACTCATAATAGAAGCCTAGTCATTTATGCGGAAGTTCAGTTCAACATTAGAAATTCATTTATGAGATGAATGACGAACGTGGATGATTCAGATTAAAATCGATTCGGTTTCGTGCTATAAAATCACACAAAAAGAATGTTAAAGCAAGAAACTGGAGTTCTTAATTTTTATAGAATACTTTCGTTCGAATGCGAGCTCAGGTCCATACCAAGATGTTTGTTCATGCATTTTTAGACTGAATTAGCAGGGCTTCCTTTGTCTTCCGGTTTCAAAAATTAATTTCCTGATATATTCTGGTGATCAGATACCTAACAGTATATATTTGATCCCATATATCGCAGGCTATTCTGTTGTTCTCGTGATGTATTTTCCTCAGCCTCCAAGTTCTTTCTGCACAGACACTTCACTACTCGTGAACCCTACTGTTGTACTGACCAATTACCTTCCTGTACTTATCCATTTTGAAGAAGATCAGCGTTATGACATCTCATCGGGTTGCTGAATGTCCTTTCTTATCTTTCTTGCATGGCATTTCCCTTCGTAGTTAAGATCGCAGTCGAAAAGTAGGGTATCGATGCCTTCTCGCAGTCTGCATTTTGACTCGATGGCTTTAACATGCATCAGGTAGCTCCGCAACGTAGCTTAAGCCCTGAGGACCAGCTGTATTCGACGCTTTTTGCGACAGTCTGCAGCTTCTCTATGTTGCACGAATGGAACAATAACGTTGGCATTGAATATCTGCTGTTTGCTGCAAGTTTTTCCGCATCTAAGCGAGTTCTTTTAGGATACAAATACCATCTAAGCTAAGTTCGAAGCATCTACTGATTTGCGTGCTGTCGATGTTTTTATTCGTGCAATAAGTGTGGTTTGAATAGAACAGTTGGAATCTACTGGTATGAGTTGGCTTGTGGAACACTTCAGTAGCACAGACGTTTTTTCTCATGATTGGCGCATTCAGAAAAGGTGAAGAGGTCACTTCAACTCTATCGTACCTTGAATATATGACATAAACATACTGGACGGCCAGAAACCTAACGCGTTGCTATACGATAAAAGACTATGGTTTCTTGTGTGCTTATTGCAACTGGGCTAAAATCATGAATCAAATTCAAGATTCCTTCGAATCCCAGGTCCAGAATCGAAACAGATATGAACGTACGTATTGAAAGCTACAGAATACTGGTTTTAAATCACATTATGAAAAATCTTTGCTGTATTTTAACTTACGTTAGCATTCCCAGTCTTCATCGATGTGTCCAAAGCTGGCACGAGCTTGTCTTTCTTTGCATCGCCTGTCATCGTCAGTACACAAGAAGCGACGCTGTCTGACAGAACTGACTGAAAAATTGTGTCACATATAAGAGTGGCAACTTCTTCCTCTCTTGATGACAGCTCAGTGACACCAGTGGCTGTATGAGCACTAATTACAGTCGTTTCGACAATGTCCGTAATGAGCTGCGATAGCATAGAGGAAAAAATCGAAATTCCAAGTTGCTCTTTCGCTACGAAGTCATTGTCTGATTCCACCAGGCCTGCAAGATCTATGGGAGGCACCTTACTAAGAAAGCCTTCCTCGATCGAATTCTCAGATAATTGTTCAGATGAGCGATCTTTCGGTTTCTCGGTAGAAGGCACGTTGCCTGATATGTCCCTTGACAAAGTTGCCATCTCCTTTTCTGGTGGCAGGTTTATAAGCGACCGACTCACAGCCGCAGATTTAGATAATTCAATAGCGCCAGTCGATACTTCTTCTAACGAAAGCAGGCTAGACTTTGCCTTCCGATCTATAAATGAGAAAGTTAAAAGAGAATGCCTCATCTGTTGCAGAAAGGCAGTCACCTTTCTCCTTTATCGTGTAGTACGCAGACAGATTATCGACCAAAGTCGACTTGAAGAGCATCAACGATCGTGGAGACTTCGGGATAACGTCATCGTCGTTTGGTCTGGGACTGAGAATTTTAGGGGACACTGAATCAGCGTATGCCTTGGCCTTAGATGTTGATAGCTCGGAAATATGCTCCTCCAACCTTCTGATGTGGCGTTCGTAAACCTGTCAAAGGACTCGCTGATCAAAGCACGATATTCTACAGAAACAAACGCATACCTCGATCTGCTGCTTCAAAGATCTTTCGTGTACTCGCATTTGTTGCTTTGTTCTGCGATTGTATTCGGCTGAGAGTTGCTGGGCGGCCGCTTTTTTGGTCATCAGGTCGTCCTTGAGTGCCATTATTCTAGACTGATACTCATTCATGCCTAAAACATACATAACCGAGTCAGGCGGCGGTGAGAGATTTCAAAAAATATTCCTCGTACCAGAAAACAAAGTTAACTCATCAGTCAGTCTATCATTTTCATCAAAGACGCCTGAATGAGTAGGGTGACCGTTAGGTAAAGCTACGTCAGCATTCGCGATCTGACTGACCGCAGAGATCTCAGCAAATGGGGCTGAGCTAAGAGCTCTCATAGTCGTCGATGAAATACCTTGGCCACTGGGAAACAAGCCGGTTCCATGTCTTGTCTGTTCAGCGGGCTTCCAATCAATGTCATGAAAAGATACAGCAACATTCGAACTTTTGATATCGCCAGACGTTTGCTTCATGCTAAGGGACAATGAATTTCGATCATCAACAAGGTCTGAGACAGGAGGAACATCCGCCGCGTTGGACATGCCTAAGGGAGCCATCGTCTGAATATTGCTGCTCGTCCCTACCGCTCTTTGCGAAGCATCACCGCTATTTGTAGCGATTGACGATGAAGCGGATGATGAGGTTTTCATGCTGCCGAGTGGAACAAGCCACGTTTTCAACGCCTCCCTTTCTAAATTGCGTACCACCTTGGCTTCTTTTTCGATCTGCCGTCTAGCATTCAGTAGCTTCTTCGCTTGTTTGCCCCTGGCCTGCAAAGACTGGGATTGCATTCGTAAACACGGTTGAAAATCTTCAAAGGAAGTAGACGGGCTTGAAGAAATGACTAAAATATATTTCAGATCAAACGCATTCATAAAGAAATAATTGAGAGTGTGTACACAGACATATTCATATAAATTTATGATTGGCATTTTAAGCTAACTTTATGGGACACAGAGCAACTAAATAATGACCGCAACAGCTAAAACTTCAAAACAAATTAAGGGACAATTTTCGCAATTCATATGCATTCATTTTCAATATTAAAAGCAAGAAGTGTTGAAAACACGAGGCCATTTCGGGCCTTGCAAATGGACACTATGACATGGTCCGAAACGTTGAGTTAATGCAGACTTGTTCGACTCACCTTCAACTTTTAACCACTGAATTGAAAAAACCTCATTTCTGAAGGCTCTAACTTAAGAAACGGGTCGAATCGTTTGTATATTATGCACTGCTTAACATACAACTTGCCTATTTAGCAAACTGACGTACTTGTGAGACTTCTTCAAAATGAGTCATGGGGTTTCTATATTTACAAACATATTAATTTGCCGACGGCTGTGATTTCTAGTACAATGCAAACGCCTTGGCCGAAGAACATCGTTATCACCAAAACAAATTGTGAAACTAATAAACTGCCCGTTGAAGTGATACCTCTCTGGATTATTCCCTGTGAGTTATGCAAACAATCTGCTCTGGTACTGAATCCTGTGGTATGGAATCAATGATAGAAACGAAAGCATTGGTTGCAATAGCTGTGCATATAAC